GGCTGACGGGAAGCTCTGCTCACCCCTGGCTGTGCATGGCACACACACGCACAACGGTTTCTCAGCAATGGAAAATCACTGGCTGTGGGGACACAGCACCTGCTAAGACAGGAGGTGGGTGACGTAAGGTTTCTACCATGTTGCCATGCTGTGCTTTGGAAACCTGGGCAGTGCAGGTAGGATCAGAAGCTTGTGCCAAATTTTATGTTACCTGTTTCCCCAGAGTGCAGTCTAAAGGAGCCGAGGTATACTGTCCAAATACAGCTGCAGGGGGCCACCTCTGGTGTCAGGGGTTAGATCGCGGAGACAGGAGGTGATGAGGGACTGCCCAAAATGTATTATTCCATTTCTCCCTCACAGCAGCCCTATGAAGCAGGTACTGTGATCCTCATTTTCAGATGAGGCTAAGAGAGATTAAGTAAGTTGCCTAAGGCCAATTGGTGGCAGCGAGGGCCTTGAACCTAAGTGGGCCTGACTCCAAAGCCTGTGGGGGTAGCTGGTATTGAACACATTTGTCAGAGGAACAGCCGATGTACAGACTCTGGTGCCACCAGGACCGTTCCTCCACTGAAACCAAACGCCAACATCCCCTCCTCTGACCCTATGCTCCGATCCCACGGTATTATCCCCACTATTTGGGAATTACTATTGCCAGTTCCACCCATTATTCCTAGTCTAGGTCCTTCGACTCACATTTGCCCACGGAGCCTCCTGTCGTGTCCCCGACCCTCTTCCAACACCTACCCTCTAGAGCCAGACCTGCTGTTTCAGAGAAAGAGGATGTCTCCTGGCCACCAGGGCCCACCCCTGGGCCCATCGACAAAGAGCAGGCATCTCCCTTGCCCCTTCCCTCTCTGCTACCTTTTGTTCCTTCCTTTGAGAGAGAGAAAGAGAGAGAGAGTGTGCGTGCAGGGGAAGGGGGCAGTGGGGCAGAGAGAGAGAGAAGAGAGAAAGAATCCTACGCAGGCTCCACGCCTAGCCCAGTGCAGAGCCTGACGAAGGCTCAAACCCACAACCCTGAGATCACGACCTGAGCCGAAATCAAGAGTCGGACACTCAACCAACTGAGCCACCCAGGCACCCCTACACCTCCCTTTCTAACCCTGAACTCTCTGCTGAACTTCAGAAGGCCATCTGAGTGTTCTTCAGGCAGTAAAACATCCTCTGTGTAAAGTGGAACTCAACACCTCCCCACATTTGTTCTGCCTCCTGCATTTTCAGTAAATTACGTCAGCATCTATCAGGTCACCAAAACCAAAACCTTGGTGTCTTCTTAGTTTTCTTTCTCCCCCACTCACTCTACCACGCCCTCCCTATGCACACCGAGTGTGGATTAAGCAACGGAAAGAAAGGGTTGCAGCTTATAGGTTATTATCAAATGGTAGAAGTTGGACAGAAAATTGTAGCCCCGATATGGCTGGGAGTGTCTCCTAACCACATGGCCACTGACAGAGCTGCCTGTGAAGTGTCGGAGACGCGTCCATATGTCCATTCACGTGCTCCTACAGGACTCCGCCCAGCTGGGTACAGATTTCTGTGTTCACCTACTGTTTCTTCAGGACAAAACTGGTGCATCAGCAAGGAAAGTCATGTTACATTCTAATTGTTCCTTAACATAGTAACTGTGTTGGAGCAAATTTGTGTTTTTAAAACAAGCATTATAACAGAACTGAGTGTATATGTGTGTGAGTGTAAACAACAGAAATCCTAACTGATGTCATAAGCATTCAAGGAATGAAATAAATATTTTAAAGTATTCCCACAAAGAAAACACGAGATCGAAATGATATTACCAAGTGCTATCAAACTTTCATCAAGGATCATTTCATAGCTTATGAAAACCTTTCTAGGGAACAGAAAAAGGGCAAACCCTGCAACTCATTTATATCAGGCCAGAATACATTTGATACCAAAACCAGACAAGCAAAGTGAAAGGAAAGGAAATTTACAGGCTAATCTTGAACACAGAACATGGAAGCAAGAATCCGAAACAAAATATTAGTAAATGGAGTCTGGCAATGTCTAAAAAATAAGCGTATCATGAACACACTGGGTTTATTCTAAGAATGCCAAGTTTGTTTCACACGAGAAAAATCTGTCGAATGAAACTTACCACATTAACAGATTAAAGGAGGAAAAAAATTGTGTTCTCAATTTGATAAATTTGATAAAAAGCTAATACCATTTGATAATAAGCTAATATTATTTCATGATAAAAGTACTAAGCAAACCAAGAGGAAAAGGAAATTTTTAAACCTGAGAAAGGATATCTACCAAAAACATATGGTGAACATCATTCTTAATGGTGATATAGCCCCTTTAAAATCAGGAATAAGGATACCCACCATCACTGCTTCTAGTCAACACTTCATCAGCAGATCTAGCTAGTGTAGTAATAGTATAATAATTAGAAAGGAAGAAACAAAATTGCCATGATTTGTAAATAATACAATTACCTACACAGAAAACCCAAAAAATCTACAAATAAATTATTAGAATAAGGGAGTATAGCCAGATAATTGGATATAAAATTAACAAAAAGAAATTACATTTGTATATGCCAGCAACAGTTATAAAACATAATTTTTAAACAGTAGCAACAAAAAATATAAAATATCTAGAAATAAATGAACAGGTTGTGGAAAGACTTTGGCTTTTGGCCATGATGGAATAGTAGAGACCAGACCTAGCCTCTCAGCTGAAGCAATAAAAAAGAAATGGAGAGAATATATGAAACCACAGTTTTCAAGATGCTGGGCATGAAGCAACAAAGGAGGAATCGCTGGAAGATGGGAAACAAATGAGGTGAAGCTTACAATTTACCCCAGCTTATTGCCTTGAGCGTTTCCAGATGACACTGAAGAGAACCATTTGGAGCCTAGAGGACTCTCAGCTGAGAAGATGAGTTTGGGGAGACCAAAGTGGCTAGAGTTTGCAGGACAGAATATTGAACAGGAGTGAGCTACACAGAGAGAAAACTCAGAGGGTTCCCCTCAAGTACCCAACAGAATGTTGATTAAAGAAGTAAATGTGAGGGGTGCCTGGGTGGCTCAGTTGTTAAGTGTCTGTCTTCGGCTCGGGTCATGATCCCAGGGTCCTGGGATCAAGCCCCACGTCAAGCTCCCTGCTCAGTGGGAAGCCTGCTTCTCCCTCTCCCACTCCCTCTGCTTGTGTTCCTTCTCTTGCTGTGTCACTCTGTCAAATAAATAAAATCTTAAAAAAAAAAAAAAAAGAAAAGAAAGAAATGTGAAAGGCAAACCTTTCATAAAAGGAAAGATAGATAAATGTGACTTCCTTAAAATGAACAGTTTGTTCAACAAAACACACCCTAAAGAGAAAAGACAAGACACAAAATGGGTGAAGATATTAGCCACACATAGTAACAACATCTAGAATATAAAACGAATCCCTACAACTCAAGAAGAAAAAGATAACTGGATAGAAATTGGGGCAAAAGAAACAAACAGGGGTTTTGCAAAAGAGAAAACTCAAATGGCCAATAAACAGATGAAAGATGCTCAATTTCACTGGTGGTCTGGAAGTAAAAATTAGGATCACAATGAGAAACAATTTAAAACTACTCCATTGTCCTAAGTTAAGAAGCCTTGAACATGTAGAGCAATAGGAGCTCTGATACATCGCTGCTGGGAGTGAAGACTTATGTGACCACCTGGGAAAATAATTTGAATTTACACACCCCTTGTGCTCCAGCAATTCCACATCTATGTCAAAGACCCCAGAGAGGGGACCATGGGTGGCTTAGTCAGTTAAGCGTCTGACTCTTGATTTTGGCTCAGGTCAGGATCTCACAGTTGTGAGACTGAGTTCCGCCCTGCATGGGGCTCCACACTCAGCATGGAGTCTGCTTGAGATTCTCTCTCCCTCTGCAACCTCCCTCGTTCACACGGGGCTCCCTCTCTCTCAAAATAAATAAAATCTTAAAAAAAAAAAAAAAAAAGACCCTAGTGAGACTTCTCAAATACTTGCATCAGGACATACTTAACAAGAATATTCAAGGCAATACTGTGTATAATTGCAAAAATAAAACCAGGGAACGGCGCAAATGTGCACAGCAGGAAAATGGATATATTATGGTAACTCAAAACAGTGAAAATAATAGAACAAACACCTAACAAGCATGGTTCTTAGAAACAATAGTGAGTGAAAAACATTAAGCTGCAGAGGACTATATACAATATAACACCATTGTATAAAGCTCAAAAACAAGGGGAAATAAACACTATGTTGTTTAGGCCAATGTGTATAGGTGGTTGTGGTAAAAAAAAAAGAAAGGAATGGACGATCATTACAACAATCAAGAGATTAGTTACCTCTGGGGTGCAGTTATCTCTATAGAGAAGGATCCAGAATGGTTTCTAGTAATGTTCTGGTTCTTAAGTTAGGTGGTAGGTGGCTCATTTTATTATTAAGCCTTCTTGGGCACCTGGGTGGCTCAGCCAGTTAAGCGGCTGCCTTCAGCTCAGGTCATGATCCTGGGGTCCTGGGATTGAGCCCTGTGTCCAGCTCCCTGCTCAGCAGGGAACCTGCTTCTCCCTCTCCGTCCACGCTGCTTCTCCCTCTCCCTCCGCTACTCCCCCTGCTTGTGCTCTCTCTCTAATAAATAAATAAATAATTTTTTTTAAATTAAGCCTTCCTATGCTTTATATGTATTGTGTGTATCAAATAATAAATACCCATACGAAATTTAGAAAAATTTGGGCACCAAACGGGATTTGTAAAGAACGTCTTTCCTTATGCAAAATATTCTCAACAGAACATTAAACAATAATTAAAAGATTATAGCTCTTCTGTCCCTGTATCCAAAGCCAGCAAATACTGGATTAACTTCTATTGCTCCAATGACTATAATAATAGCAGGGGCCAAGGAAAACGTTCTTTTGTAGGAGAGTTGTCATGGAATCAGATTTGTTGTAAAGAAATACATAATTTATGTGCCAGACCATCCACCAGAAGAACTACAGAGACAATGTCCACAAACATGAAATCAAGAACTTCTCTTTATGCCAGCAGTAATCACAGAGAAAATACCATCAAAACATTCACAACGGCCACAACAAGCTTTAGGGACTTTATGGACTCATTCACAGGAATCTGACCAGGGAAATGGTGGATATAACTTGTACCTTGACGCACCCGCCCTGATCTTACTACGGGGTCCCCAGGCCCCCCAGGCATCCTAATAGTGTGCTTTCATCCCACCCAGACACTTCCTCTGCAAATGGAGCCAGGCCTCAGGCTGTCCTCCGCCACAGCTCTCAGGCACCTGATGACAGACCAGCGGCCTCCACTTCCATTATTCCAGCAGCCGCCTAATGCATTTGAACCACAAAATGGGCCCTTGCCTCTTTCCTATCCCAGTTCCATCTTCATAAACGGTAACAGATAGACAGGAGTCCCCAAGGGCACGAAACCTTTCTTTCCAGATAATTTTCAAGGGAAGGGGGGGAAAGATGCATATGTGCTAATGGAACCTCTCTGGCTGAAACAATTTATCTGCAGATGTGCCCTGACCAGCCACACACTCATCAATTTGTCAGGCTGCCGTCACTGAAATTTATGATCCTGTTTGAGAAGTGGTGTGTCCATCTGAGGTTGCATTTCAGCCCAAAATTATAATAAGCTGGTACTTTTTACCTACCTCAGATTCAGTGAAATTTCCAATTTTCTGAACTACTTTCTCTCAGAGACTCTTTGCTGGTCTCTAAGACTTGAATGGAGGGAAAAGAGAAACATCAAAATGAAAGTGACAATTTAACTAAGGGAGCTGACTACTGGGAGAAAAATAGGATATTTTTATGATCCCAAAACTGGAAAAAGAAAAAAAAAAAAAAGGCATTTCAGGGAGAAAATCAGGAGTAGCCACAGCACGAAATCATGCCTTAGATGTCACCTGGGCTTGGCATCGCACTATTAGCATAAGCACATGCTCCAGTGGGGTCCAGAGGGGTCAAAGCACTTGAAATTTCATTTGCAATTTGCCCAGGGCTAGTTTTTCGGACCTTAGTTGGCCAGAATTTTTTAAGGAAGCAAGAGAGTTAGGTTTAAATCCTGGCAGGTCCAGCCAACATCAGAACTACTTCCTGTTCTGCCCTGGGGACAGAAGTCAATCGATTTTTTGTCTTCTTTTGAGCTCTGCTGATTCCTGCTGGTTTGGGGTAAGAAGGATATGTCGGAGCGTATGTTCTCCAGTACCTCCTACTCTCATCTCTAAGCCAAGGAAATGATCTATAACAATGCTGAAGTACCTTTTAAGTGCTTCTCTAACACAGCTTTAACAGTTTTGGGTAAGGGACAGAAAGCCTCAGAGAAACCATAAAACACAATCCATATGGCACCAGAATACTGTTTTGTTCTGGGAATTCTGCCCTTAGGCAAAACCACACAGCCATGAATACGTAAACAACCACTTTTTGAACCATCTAACAAAGACTGAGTTCTGCCAGAGAGCAGGGAGCTGCAGCCCAGGGCGGTGGGGGTGGGGTGGGGTGGGGTGGGGTGGGGGGACAAGGAGGAAAAGCAGCCGAGCCAACCACAGCAGGTGCTTCACCTCTGAGCGACTGTGCAAATCCCAGCTGAGGAGAGTCCACGGTGGAAAAGAGATATTGTCTGAATGGCCTCATCTGAAAGGGTATCAGGCCATACTGCCTAAATGGGTAGATCAGCCGGTGGCGTCTACGCTCTCGACAGTCAGGTCTCTCAAGACTTCAAGAGAAGGAGCAGGATTAAGACTCTGAGACAGAGTCCGTGAAGACATTTGCGCTGCCATCTCTGATGGTTATTTCCTGGGTGGCCGTGAATGTTAACGGGATGAAGCCTTCGCTATCAGCACAGAGAAGGATCCAGTGCGAGTCTGCAAAGTGAAATAAACACATAGGAAACTTAGGATATCTCATCTTATTCTATGAAGAAGAAGAAGGCAGATTTTTTTTTGAGGGTAAGAATAGAGTAGTTGATAATATTGAACTGATCATTGTAAGACCGTGCAGACAACTGGGTAGACGGAAGGACTGAGCACTACTGAGGGTGACATTATATGGCAGGAGCGGGTATTGATGGCATTGATGACGTAGGCATAGCTAGGGGACATCCATCTTTACCCAGGCGAGGCATTTATCACTCAGTGCTATGCATCTGATTGTGTATATAGCGCACATGTGTTAGGGGTTGTGTGTGGAGTGTCCCTATCTACTCGCTCTTAAGCATTTCTCCAGAAACTATGTGAAGGTGGGAACAGCTACTCTCTGGAGGAACCTTTACTCTTTAGATCATTACCAACCTCTAGACACCTAAGGATGCTTAGCTGACTACTGTTAGACTAGAATGGTCCAGATAATCCTGAATGGTTTGTTCTGCAGTAACCTAGGGCCAGTGGCCTTAACACATGCCTGGACCTTCTCTGGTTCTTTCAAATCTACTGTGCCTCACCTTTGACCCTGTAATTTCACTTCTGAAGAATCTATACTTTCCAAGAACAACATGTAAAATATGCAGAGAGGTTTTTATCAGTGCTATATATGCTGCTGAAACTGGAAACCACTGGAAGGTCAAAGAAAATATGGTGAAGTGAAATATGGTACACCCGGAATGGAATAGTAACTCCACCCAGGACAGATGACAATTATCAAATCATATCACAAAGGCATGTGTCAAAACAAAAAAATGCTGGTGCTAGAAACAGATCTCATGTTCAACATGGTGGCTACCATTAGAAGAATGAGGCATATGGGTGGCTCAGTTGGTTAAGCGACTGCCTTCGGCTCAGGTCATGATCCTGGAGTCCCGGGATCGAGTCCCGCATCGGGCTCCCTGCTCGGCAGGGAGTCTGCTTCTCCCTCTGACCCTCTCATGCTCTCTCTGTCTCATTCTCTCTCTCAAATAAATAAAATCTTTAAAAAAAAAAAAAAAAAAAGAAGAAGAAGAATGAGGCATAAAAAACCCACCACGCTGTGCATTTCAAGAGTAGGCACAGCTCAGTTCGCTGGCATTTAGGGATACCCTTCTCATCCCATGTTTGCTGCATATTAAAATGACCAACTCCTTTAAGAAATATTCTGCAATGCTGCTATGATCTTTATGTTTAGTGCAACAGGTATATATGTGGTTTTAATGTCATTCCTTTGCAGCTGTTATATATTGCTTTGTAACTCTTCCAGGTTTTTCCTGTGTACATTTAGGTCTTCCAGCTAGGCTGTAAGTTCCTCAAGGGCGGAACCTGTATTTCCCATGTGTTTCGGTACCTATGATAGACTTGGGTATACAGTAGGCAATGAAAAATATTTGTTAACTTTCTCGTGAATCACTGAATGGTTTGTAAACTTCACCTTTATTATCAATGAAAGTTACAAAATAGATGGTAGAGGGAGGGAGTGTGGGGTAGAACCAATTTCTTGAATTCCACCTACCATGGAGCATTTCGACAAGAGAGAGGCCGAAAGTCTGCTGGACTGTACTGAGCCTTAGTTTGCCATTGCAGAGGAGTACAGCTCTTTTTTCAACAACAGGACCTACATAATAAGATTTCTTCAAATATAAAAATAAAAGTTGTTAAACTGATTGCAGAAGCAACAGAGTTAACATTTCTTAAGAACAGAATGTGTAAGTAGTTTTTTAGAATCCTATTTACTATCATTATAACTAAACCAGCTGTGGGGCGCCTGGGTGGCTCAGTCAGTTGGGCATCTGCCTTCCGCTCGGGTTGTGATCCCAGGGTCCTGGGACTGAGCTCCACATGGGCTCCTTGCTCAACTGGGAGTCTGCTTCTCCCTCTCCCTCTGCTCCTGGCCCCGCTAGCGCTCTCTCTCTCTCTCTCTCTCACTCTCCCTCTCTCAAATAAACAAAATCTTTAAAAGGAAAAAAAAAAACTAGAACAGTTGTAAATAAGGAGCTTTTGGCTACATTATTTAACACAACAAAAGGATTAGATCTCAAAATATTTATGGGTTAAATACCATGACATTCCTACTTAAAATATTTTAGGAATTTAAAAAAAAAAAGAAGCAATTATGGCAAAATGTTAACAACTGTTAAATCCAGATGACAGATATTAAAAGGATTTCATTATGTAGTCTTTATGTTTATAATTTTTCATAATAAAGAATATGTTTGAAATTTTTCACAATAAAAAAATTTTAATTCAGTTTTAAACTATTCTTTGGTTCATTTAAAAACCTACATCCGGAGTTGGTCAAACAGTAGTATTTTTTTTTTAAGATTTTATTTTTATTTATTTGAGAGGGAGAGAGAGAGAGAGAGAAAGCAAGCAAGAGCACAACAGCAGGGGGAGGGAGAAGCAGATCCCCTGATGAGCAGGGAGCCGGCTGCGGGGCTTGATCCCAGCCCAGGATCATGACCTGAACTGAAGGCAGCTGCTTAACTGACTGAGCCACCCAGGCACCCCTATTAATTTCTATAATCTACAAAAACCTCTTTTTTTTTTTTAAAGATTTTATTTATTTACTTGAGAGAGAGAATGAGAGACAGAGAGCACGAGAGGGAAGAGGGTCAGAGGGAGAAGCAGACCCCCCGCTGAGCAGGGAGCCCGATGAGGGACTCGATCCCGGGACTCCAGGATCATGACCTGAGCCAAAGGCAGTCGCTCAACCAACTGAGCCACCCAGGCGCCCCTCTACAAAAACCTCTTATAAACTGATAACTTGGGGCACCTGGGTGGCTCAGTCGTTGAGCGTATGCCTTCGGCTCGGGTCATGATCCCAGGGTCCTGGGATCAAGCCCTACATCGGGCTCCCTGCTCTGCGGGAAGCCTGCTTCTCCCTCTCCTGCTCCCCCTGCTTGTGTTCCCTCTCTCGCTGTCTCTGTCAAATAAATAAAATCTTAAAAAAATAAATAAATAAAAATAAAATAAAATCACTCTTAAAAAAAATAAACTGATAACTCAATAGGAAAAAAATGAGCAGTAGGCAATTCATATTCAATTGGCCAAAAACCATGAAGACATACTAATAGTAAAGGAAATACAAATGGATAAAAGTGAAAAGCACTTCACACTTATCAGACTGGTGGGGCTGTGAGGAAAAGGACAGTCTCCTAGGTTGAGAAGGGGTATGTGATGATGCATTAAGTAAAAAATCTTTTGAGAGGCAATCTGGCAACTCTTTGAAAAGTAGAAACATATATATATATATACTCCTCAAATTAGCACTTCCACTTCTGGGAACCAACCCAACAGAAATAAAAGTAGGAATACAAACAGCTACATATAAGGGTACCACTACAGCAGGACTGGGAGTGACTGAAGAGAAGTGAAGAGCTAAAGGCAACGTGAATGTCCACCAAGGGCCCAGCTACATAAACAGTGTACTCTCAGCACAAAGAGTGCACCCTATGACCCCATTTTTGTAAAACAATTTTTGTAAAACACCACCACCCCCGCATCTATAGACCTATATGGATACAAAGAAGTGTGTAAGATTACAGGAGTATGAACTAAAATAATGGAGGGAGCCACGTTGAGCCGTGAATTAAAGTGAGTTATGGCGGGGGGCAGGGCCACGTTCAACGGGGAATGAAAATGTTCATGATAAAAACAGATCAGCTATGATCCCATTCATGTAATATGATATATTTGCACATGCATTAAATCTTTCTAAATCGACCTAACCTTTCTCTCTGCAATGCATAAGGAAAAGTTTCCCACAGTGAAATAGCACAATAAGGAGAGTTCTTTTTTTTTTTAAATATAAATTGCCAGGATGAGTACAATCATTCGTATTTTACACCAGGCAGGTGACACAATCCCAGCGTATGCTGATATGCGTGCCCATCTGGCTGGCAGCCAACCAACCTAGAGGTAGAACTCGCCCGTAACGTAACACGCCCAGCTCATGAAGTTCAGCTACAACACCATCTTGCTCGTCAATGAGCTTTTCTTGTCAGTACCCACTGGCTGCAGGAGCTTTCACGTACAGGGGCAGCTCCTCAAAGGAGCAGTTACCTGATAAGCGACGTGCACATAGGGCGGGTCCTGAGAGAGTGGATACCCAGGAGAGGACTTCTCCTTTTGTAGAACGTCTGTGAGTTCAGAGAGACGTCGCTGCACTTCAGTCAGGGTCCTAGATAAAATTTCCATTTCCTTAGACAGCCGGGAAATTTCCTTTTCCCTTTGTAAGTTCTTGCTTGGAGGCCAATCAGGAGGTTCGGGAGTTGGGGTGTGGTGGGGTGTGCCGCTGGATCTGGCCAGCATTACCAAGCGGTTAACGGGCTCAGCATCTAGAGCGTCAAGGGCGATGGGGCCGTCACAGACCCTGGTGGGAGGACTTTTGATTTCTTTAATAAGGGTTTTTCCAGGCCTCGCACTTTGCCCACTGCCATTAGCTGTTAAGAGCCCTCTGTTTGGGTGACAAAAATCTGGGGAAAGACTTTCAATTAGCTTTTTTCTCTCTGTTTTATTTAATAGAGTACTGAGAGTAGAGCCTCCACTCTGGTTTTCACGTGCTGTTACTGGAGATTCTTCTTCCAATGTCACTTCTCTAACAATCAAACGAATGATATACTCATCAGTCTTCGAAGAAGGAAGAAATGCTGAATCAGTGGATTTTTGTTCTCCTACCAAAATCAGTAATAACTTATCTGTCAAGAAGCATATGCCTTTCGGCTTTTCACTTCTCTCTAACTGAATCTGCCGGATATTTGGCACACACGATGGAATGACAGAATAGATAAAAATGCCATGGTACGTATTGGAAGCCACCGCCAGCACCTGTGCTTTAGGATTAAATGCTATTAGATCAGGAGCCAGAATCCCGGGAATGGTGACTTTTCTGGTCTGGGTGACCTCTTTCTCAAAGGTCACAAGGACCAAATGTGAAGAATCCAGGCCGGTTCCTGTCAAGTAGTCCTTTTTTCTTAGATGAATAAGAGAACTACCCCCAGATTTGGCGGTATTGGAATGTATATGAGTTAGATCCAGAGAATCTGAAAAGGAAGAAGAAACAGGAGAAACTGAGGTTTCAAAGTGTGTTTCGGAAGCAACTGCCCCCTGATCCCCGGTGGGTGCTTCATCAGTAGCCGGTGAAGCACACAGACGAGTGTCTTCCCCACCAGCAGGAACATCAAAGGCTTCGGATGCATTTAAGCCACAAATCTTAGCTAGTGGAAGCTCAGTCACCACAGCGACCTGTGAGTCCGCGGTGGCTCCCATGGAGCGCACGTAGCTGTCCACAGCAAACACCGGGTAGAAGGAGCACCTGCAAAGAGTCTTCTGAGCACTGTCCCAAATATAGGAATGCAGGCTGCTGCCAACTGCCACCACCAGCCTCCGGCCATCCTGGGTCCAACAGGCACAGTGAATGAGGCCCCCCGTGTCGATGTCTGCTTTCACCCGGGGATCGTCACCGTGGACGCTGGGGAGGACAGACACATCCTGTGCCGTCAACACAGCCAGGACAGGACTCTTTGGATGCCACACACAGCCCTGGGGAAGGACAGGAAGTGATTCTCTAATCTCACAGGTCTGTGACATCAGCCATCTGCTTGTCTCCGTAGTGCTGGGACAGAGCCGCCACACAGCGACATGCTTCTTGTGCTGGATGGCGAGCACGGCGGGCACGGCGGCCACAGCAGGGGGGGCCCAGGACACTCCGTACACATGTTCAAACTGTCCAATGACCTTGGAGTCCCCAAACCTGGCCTCTCCACCGTGAAGCTGTAAATCAGTCAGGACTACCTGACGCCCATCAGTCCAGACAAGGCCATGAACAGGGTGTACTGCCTGATACAACGCATTCAGCCCCGTCCTGAGAAGTCTTCCTTTTCCCAATTCCATCCTTTTGGATACAGGTTGTCTGAAATCAGTAAAAAGGAAAGATTTACCAGGAGAATATAATCAGACAAATCCAAAATGTAGGACATTTTACAAGACAATTGGCTTAGGCCTTTCACAGGTCAATATTTCAAGGGGATAAAAGGATGAAGGAATTTGACAGATTAAAAGACACTACTGAGCCATAACAAGCAAATGCAATATATAAACTTTGATTGGCTCTTGAATTGAGGAAATAAAATTTTTTTGGAAGATTTATTTATTTGTCAGAGAGAGAGAGCGAGCACAAGCAAGGGGAGTGGCAGGCAGAGGGAGAAGCAGGCTCCCTGCTGAGCAAGGAGCCCGAGGTGGGGCTCGATCCCAGGACCCTGGGATTATGACCTGAGCCGAGGGCAGACGCTTAACCAACTGAGCCACCCAGGTATCCCAAGGAAATAAAATTTTCTATTAAAAAAAAAAAAGATATGTTTAGAATTGGAGAAATTTGAATAGGCAACAGATATTAGAAGATATTGTAGAGTTATTCATTTTCTTAAGTGTGAACATGGTATTGTGGTTATGTAGGAGAATGTCCTTACCATTAAAATATGATGCTGAAGTATTTGGGGTAAAGTGTCATGATGCCTACAGTTTGCTTTCAAACAGTTTAGCAAAAAACAAAACCATGAAACCCTATACATTTGATATAGAAATGCAGAGAGATCAAACAGATGTAGCAAAATGTTAATTCTTGAATATAGATTGAGGCTATATTGGGTATGGTACTTTCAACTTAAAAAAGTTTTCAAATTAGGGGCGCCTGGGTGGCTCAGTCGTTAAGCGTCTGCCTTCGGCTCAGGTCATGATCCCAGGGTCCTGGGAAGGAGCCCTGCACTGGGCTCCCTGCTATGCGGGGAACCTGCTTCTCCCTCTCCCACTCCCCCTGCTTATGTTCCCTCTCTTGCTGTGTCTCTCTCTGGCAAATAAATAAATAAAATCTTTAAAGAAAAAAAGTGATCAAATTAAAAAACTGAGGGGTGCCTGGGTGGCTTAGTCGGTTGAGCGTTCAAATCTTGATTTCAGCTCAGGTCATGGTCTCGGGGTCGTGAGACGGAGCCCCCGTTGTTGGGCTCTGAGCTCAGCAGGGAGTCTGAGGATTCTCTCTCTCCCTTTCCCTCTGCGTCTCCCACCACTCACATTTTCTCTTCCTCTCTCTCTAAAAAAAAAAAAAATCAAAGCAAAACTGAGAAAGACTTCTTTCACCATCTAATTTCTATTCTTTTTTTTTTTAATTTGAGAGAGAGAATGAGAGAGAGAGAGAGAGAGAGCACAGGAGGGGGGAGTGTCAGAGGGAGAAGCAGACTCCCTGCTAAGCAGGGAACCCGATGTGGGACTCGATCCCAGGACTCCAGGATCATGACCTGAGCCAAAGGCAGTCGCTTAACCAACTGAGCCAACCAGGCGCCCTCTAATTTCTATTCTTTCACTGGCAAACTGCATTAATTGATATTCACATCCCTGACTTTATTAGCACTTATTTCCTCAACTCCCTTCAAGAAGGTTTTTACCTCCACAGTGAAATGACACTCAACAAAGTCACTGTTGTCCTTCCTACTTCCTCATATTCAAATAGCACTTAATAATTTTCAGACCATTTTCACATTCCCTACCATTTGCTCCTTGCAACAATCTTTCACAATAATGCAAAGTTAGGAAAGTATTATCTTGCATTTTCTCATAATTTTTTTCCAGGCATTTAAATTACTAAAGTAGTACATGCTCACTGCAATGAAATTCAGACAAACCAGAAGTGTCTAAAATAAAATGAAACGTTTCTTCCTCCCCTATGCCAACACCTCCCCTCCCCAATCTCAAATCCTTGATAAAAGCACTGTTAACGATTTGGTGTGCAGCCTTTGAAACCATTAAAGAAACCTACCAAAAAAATAAATAAATAAATACTACTACTACTAATAATAAAATAAGAAGAATTCTATTATGTGCTAAGTTTTTTTCCTTTTATTTCTTTTTAAAGATTTTTTTATTTATTCATTTGAGAGAGACAGAGTGAGCAAGAGCATAAGCAGGGGGGAGGGTTAGAGGGAGAAGGAGACGCCCCCACTGAGCAGGGTGCCCGATGCAGGGGTAGATCCCAGGACCTGATCATTACCCAAGCCGAAGGTAGATGCCCACCCGATTGAGCCAACCCGGTGCCCCAGTTTGTTTTTCTTTTAAACAAAATGTCGGGGTATAAGTCAAAGTTCCTGGGTACTAACAACAGAGACCACTCTGGCTAATTTAAGCAAAAAAAGGCGGCTCGAGAACCAGGCTCAGAAAACAAGCAGGAACCAAGTGTGGCTAGGCAGAATAAACCATGCCATCACTCTCTCCCCCACACATTAGCACCTGAAAATCTAACTTCACTGCCCCTTCTTTGATGGCAATTGCTTAAGATGCCGAATGGGGGTCCAGGGGGAAACCTCCCACTGGCTAAGCCTAGCTTCCATGCCCTGCTCTAGCTGCCAGGATGGAGAGAGGGTCTCCCCACAAAGGCTTCTGTGATAGGGTGATGGGACTCTGCCTCCCACCAAGACTCACACAAAGGGCAGTTGCCCCCAAATTAGGGAAGGGGTTTTCAAAAAATGACAATCACCACAAGGATCATGTTACATATTATTCACTAATTTATTTTAAATCATGGGTACCTTTCCAAGTCAATAAAAATAGAGCTCCCTCAATCTTTTAAGTAGCTGCAAGGCATGCCATATTGTATCCAATGATTCCCCTGTAGGTGGGAATTCAGCTTTTCAATTTTTATTTAGATGTGGATAGAGTCTAAAAGTTTGGTACTCAGTTCTCACCACTGTTTTCCCTTTTCCTTCCTTCCAATGTCACTTACTCTCGTGTTTTTATCGTCTCTGTTTATTACTGTCAGGCCTCCATCTCTTCTCCTGGCTTCCTTGCTGAGCTGCAGTGCTAGTCGTCTATCTGTTAGGCTTCACATTATGGCTGATATTAGCCCTGCCCACACTCATTTCAAACCGGATGTGCATACAAGAAAAAAAAATGGTTTTTTTGCTCTCAACAGCAGCTCCTTAATGGATATCACCATTCTCATATTCACTCAGGCTAAAAACTCGGGACTCCATTTGACTGCTCTCCTGTACTCTCAGTTAGTCGTCAAATCCTACTAATTCTTAGAACTGTTTCTGAATAAAGTCCTTGTCATTCCCACCAGCACTCTCCTGAATCAATCACTGGCACCTCTAACCTAGATGACTGCAATAATCTCCTCCTACTTGGTTTCCCTACCTCTGGCTTTCTTCAGTCCATCTTGTGCAAAACCAATCTTAAAATGTCCTTTTAAGTATATCATTTATCAGCTTAAAAATTGGCAGATATTAAAAAAAAACTGGCAGACGTTACCTACTGCCTAGAGCTGTGCTGTTCAATACAGTAGCTATGAACCACGTGTGTTTTGTAAATTTAATTAAAATTTTTAAAAATCCAGTTGCTCAGTTGCACTAGCCCTTTTTAAAGTGGTCCACAGTTACATGTGGCTAGTGGCTCTCATATTGTACAGGGCAGAACAGAACATTTCCATCAGTGAGGAAAATTCTGCTGGACAGCACTGGCCTATAGGATAAAGTCTGAATTCCTCAGTTGGGCATTCAAACCCCTGCCCAGTGTGGACCTACCTATCTCTCCAGTCTTACTTCTGTTTATTCATCTTCACAATTACAATGGCTGGCCCATTCAAAACACATAATAAATGACAGGTGAAGTGACGGCCCAGCTTAAATACCATCTCCTCCAAGAGGTCTTCCTTACTCATCCTGCTAAAGCTGATACTTTCCTCCTCTTAACGCCTATAGCCCTTATAGTCTAAAGCACTCGTGTGACATCTTCAGTTTATTACCTGCAATTACCAGTCCCTCTTTCATGCACTACCTCAAATTTCACAACTCACACACAAAGTCCTTGCGAGTAGAAACCAGACTTAACTTCTTTGCCTATCAGTTCCTAGCACATTTCATTAAGTGCTGGCAAGTACTTTCAGATGGATTGCTCCGTATCCATTATATCCTAAAAGGAGTTTCCAATTGGGTCATGGTATTGCCAGGGGTTGTGTTGTGATCACATTTGTTTGTTGCTTTAGGCTCTTATGATACTGTCAATAAACCTCTTTGAACTGTATTTGGACGTTCTTTCTAAGTCTGTTAAATAATCCAGGCTCTTCAATAACAACTAAAACGATGGGGGATATATATTAAGAGATATTTCCCTCCCCTACAGGGCCATATAGTCCTAATGCAGCCATACACTAGCATTTCTCATTTTTTGTGATTTAAAAAAAAGAATGGTTAAGCAACCATACATATTAGCACAAGTTCCCGGGTCTTAAAGAACTCATAGTCCCAGTTCTTAAAGAACTCATACTGTCATTTAAATCATGAGGACAATCAAACAATATATTTATATAATTTTTTTTAAGATTTTATTTATTTATTTGACACAAAGAGACACAGGGAGAGAGGGAACACAAGCAGGGGGAGTAGGAGAGGGAGAAGCAGGCTTCCCGCCGAGCAGGGAGCCCGATGCGGGGCTCGATCCCAGGACCCTGAGATCATGACCTGAGCCGAAGGCAGATGCTTAACGACTGAGCCACCCAGGCGCCCCTTTATAATTTTAACATTCTATAAAACTAATGTAGGATTTTGCAACAATCAAATGTTTCCTTCCTGGGGTAGTTCCAGGGGGGAGAAACAGCTTTTTTTTTTTTTTTTAAAGGTTTTATTTATTTATTTATTTGAGAGAGAGAGATGAGAGAGAGCACGAGAGGGGGGAGGGTCAGAGGGAGAAGCACACTCCCTGCCGAGCAGGGAGCCCGATGTGGGACTCGATCCAGGGACTCCAGGATCATGACCTGAGCCGAAGGCAGTCGCTTAACCAACTGAGCCACCCAGGCACCCGAGAAACATCTTTATTTCTGGTGATTATTATAATGTAGAGTCTATATCAGTGCCACAGTATGAAAATTTT